GGGTTGTCTTATACGCCCAGTCATCTTATACGCCGGAAAATACGGTATTCTCTCTAATGGGGCCTGAGGTCTCTCCCTGTGGAGCTGCAGAACATGTGGAACAGGTACTGATGTGCATCACTGTGGAATGTGTATTAATGTGCAGCACATTGAGCATTGGAATTGTGTTTGTTATGATCTTGATTATCATTCTTTGTTACAGTTGCATTTAATTTGTGAATTATCATGCTGGTGATATATATCTTGTGTTTTCTAATATATTTTATTAGTAATTATTAAGTTGTTTACTGGCATAAGACATGTTTCTGATATCATTATATGATGTATTTATTGTCAGAAACTGGGAGACAGTGAATTATCCAGGCTAGGACTTCCTGCATGGCAGGGAATTGGACTTGAAGGTCCTTGGGGGTCTCTTGCAATTCTTTGATTCTATGTATGGTACTGGTTTATTAGTTCTTGAAGTGATATTCCTTCCCTTTACGACTGTTTTCTCAGGTAAGAGACCTTCCAGCCCATTCATATTAGCAGTTGGATGCCAGCCACGCATATTTAGCAGTGATCCACATATGTTGTGTTGCAGTGGTATCCAGTATAGTGATTGCATAATGCAAGTGGAACATAACTATACTGAAGGCTATTTGTGCTACATTACAGTGATATAGAAGATCCTATATTGGTGCAGTGTAGCATAAATAGCTGCCAGTATAGTTATGTGATAAATACACCTCACCATAATACTAGCAGAACATATCATAGACTTGGAACAATTATTAAGGAAGGTCAGGGAAGAAAGTGCAAAGGCAGGCCTGCTACTGAACTTAAAAATAAAAATAATGGCTGCAGAGAGTCTACACAAATTCTACCTAGACAGTGAGGAAACTGATATAGCCTAAGAGTTCCCCTACTTTGTATCGAACACAGATCAGAACAGAGAGCGCAGTCAAGAAATTAGAAGATTATTAAATGGATGCAAGATTTGGACGAAAACATTGAGTTAGAAATA